ACATTCACTCTAAGATACACCATGTCACAACGTCCGCCCCAGAAATCGAACGCGTCCTCGCTACCACGCTAAAGAACCCATTCACGAAGCGGATTACGGATACCAAAATCAAGAAAATTAACAAGCTCCGTCTCCCGACATACGCCGGCGAAACAGATCCGACGGACCATGTGACAGCGTTCAACATAGCGATGGGAAGGACGAACTTCTCCGACGAGGAGAAAGATGCGGGCTTCTGCCAACTTTTCATCGAAAGCCTCTCCGGACCGGCGTTAACCTGGTTCTCGCGACTGACCGAAGGGTCGATCGATAACTTCCACGACCTCTCGGCGCAGTTTCTGAAACACTACATTATGTTCACTCGACAAGAAACGACCTCAGCAGACTTGTGGAAGATGTCGCAATCGGCCTCCGAAAGCCTTAAGGATTTCATGGAAAAATTCAAGAAGGTGGTGACACAGATCGAGATCACCGACCAAACAGCCGTCGAAGCTCTACGAAATGCGTTGTGGATACACTCCAAATTTCGAGACGATCTCTACTCTAATCCCACAATCTCCCTCCAAGATGCCCTCCATCGTTCCCAAAATTTTATCCGGTTGGAAGAGGACAAGCGATCGTACATCAAAAAGCAAAACGAGCTAAAGCAAGCGGCCTTGAAGGCAGCCGAAGGTCACCCCGAACCCAGGAAGCACGCATCCTACAACAAACCGGATAAAAAGAAAGGCCTCGTCAACGCCATCCCAGATGAAAAACAGCCGGACCCGGCATTAGCCGTTCGCGGACAGCGGAGCAACAAATGGACATTGGAAGTCGACGGAAAAAAGCAGGCCACCCGAACGAATCCGGCCAACAGTGCGTACGACGCAACCAAGTGGTGCGGATACCACAAAGCGTACGGACACGAGACTAAGGAATGCAATCATCTCAAAAACTTCCTCATGACGAGTTTCGTCGAGAAGCACGCTCATCCTGAACCTCCGAAGCAACAGCCCGACGCGAGTGCAAAAGGCACGGGAAAGAGCAAAGACAG